AAGCTGCATATTCACGGTGGTGATGCAGAGGATTGTACGGTCCATAATAAAGTGTTTATTTACAGACGGGTGATGGAGTGAACGATGCCCCTGCTCTGAAGAAGGCAGAGATCGGCATCGCCATGGGCTCTGGCACTGCCGTGGCCAAGTCAGCCTCTGAGATGGTCCTCGCCGATGACAACTTCTCTTCTATTGTGGCCGCCGTTGAAGAAGGCAGAGCTATTTACAATAACATGAAGCAGTTCATCAGATACCTTATCTCCTCCAATGTGGGAGAGGTCGTTTGGTGAGTCTTCTCAGGAGCAGATGATTTTAGAATATACTGAGTCCATAGAGTTGCAGTAGATTGAATGGATGACTCGTTGCAGCACGTCAGTGCATCTTCTAATGGAGTCATTTCTGCTTAAAGCATCTTTCTGACTGCTGCACTGGGTTTCCCTGAGGCTCTGATCCCAGTTCAGCTGCTCTGGGTGAACCTGGTGACGGACGGCCTCCCCGCCACTGCCCTCGGCTTCAACCCCCCAGATCTGGACATCATGGAGAAGCCGCCCCGCAACGCAAAGGAGCCGCTCATCTCTGGCTGGCTCTTCTTCAGATACTTGGCCATTGGATGTGAGTTGTGTTATCATCAACTGGTCTTTAATCTGCTGTCATGTTGTTTTATAAATGAATTTGTTCTCTGAGACAATCTGTGTTTGGTGATGATGTTATTCTGGTATCTTTTCTCCCAGGCTATGTGGGTGCAGCCACAGTGGGAGCTGCTGCCTGGTGGTTTACACTCTCTGACGATGGGCCTCAGATCACTCTGTACCAGCTGGTGAGTCTGTCTCTATGAAAACCTTTCCTTCAGCCCCCCCCTCAGCTCTCTGCCTCCCCCTCACTGCCTCCCCCTCACTGCCCTGCTGTCCTCCCCACAGAGCCACTTCCTCCAGTGCACCCCGGACAACCCAGAGTTTGACGGCCTGGACTGTCACGTGTTTGAGTCGCCCTACCCCATGACCATGGCCTTGTCTGTGCTCGTCACCATTGAGATGTGCAATGCTCTTAACAGGTAAATGCCACTCATAAAAGTATCGTTTGGTCTCAGAAGATGGAGGAAAAACTAAATAACTGATTCACCGCTCTCTGTTCTCTCCCCTGTAAAGTCTGTCAGAGAACCAGTCCCTGCTGCGGATGCCTCCCTGGGAGAACATTTGGCTGCTGGGGGCCATCTGCCTCTCCATGTCTCTCCACTTCCTCATTCTCTATGTGGAGCCTCTGCCTGTGAGTTATACAACAACAGTTCATTAAATGATGACTGATAGGACTCAGACAGGAGCTGGCTGCTTGTTGTAGCTGGCATCTTCTTACAGGGTTCCTGTGGGGTCTTAAAAAGTTTGGAAAAAGTTGAAAATTCAATTATTGGAATTTTAGTCCTTAAAAGTCTTGCAGGTTTACCAGGTCTAAAATGAGTTTAAATAAGTCTTAATCCTGTTTACATTCAGTTAACACTTCTTCCATCACACTGATGGAACTGAGAAAGAGAAACGGAGTTTGTAATGTCTTCATGTGTTGCAATTATTTCTCTACGTTAAAAATCTTTCATTAAGTTGTTGTAACAAAACTACAAACAGCAGAGTAGTACCGTACACTCAGCTTGGTTATGGGACAGACCATGGTCACCTCCTATCTGTCTGTAGTTTGTGAGATAACCTGGTGTATCGAGGTTAGTTTTCTACTAAGCCTCTAAATCTTTTATAAATTATAGGGAAGTGTAAATCATTTCAAGACATTTGCGTGACAGTGCCCTTAAAACAAATCAAATGACAACCCACTATCAGTTATCAAAATGAATAATACATTGTTTTATATATAATATCCTCTGTAGTTAATCTAGAAGCTCTTCTCTTTCTCTATGTTTAAATATTCTGCAACTGTGACATGTTAGTTTAGCATAGAGAATAGAAATGGGGGTGACAGCTAGCTCGGCTTTGTGGAAGTGTAACAACACATTAACACAGGTGGATTTTGTTACGGGTTGGACTGTGACAGTGACATGTGGAGAAGGTTTGTCTCCGTACACAGTCTGCATACACACTGATAATCCTGTAAGTATGAAGAAGTAGCTGTGACACATCTGCTGTCACTCTCTCTCAGGTCATCTTCCAGATTACTCCTCTGGACGTGACCCAGTGGATGATGGTGCTGAAGATCTCGCTGCCGGTCATCCTGCTGGACGAGCTGCTTAAGTTTTTGGCCAGGAACAACTTGGACTTTGGTAAACAGCTGGAGAAGCCGGCCACCAGGGGCTGCTCTCTGTCTGCATGTGCCGAGGGCATCTCCTGGCCCTTCGTGGCCATCTCCCTGCCTCTGGTGCTGTGGATCTACAGCACCGACACTAACGTGTCCGCCATGTTGTGGCCCTGACTGACTCCTGTGCACACTCCCCCTCCTCCCCCCTCCTCCCGTGCACCAGTGTGAAGTGGACATTAACGCACACATCTAACACCGTCACATTCATTCGGAACAACAATTCGACACGTGCATCTGCTCTGACTGCCTGTGTGCTGTGAGATCTTTTGTATTTAGGACATTTTCACCATTACATATTTTTACGTAGGGAGAGATGCAGAATCGGGGGTTTAGGTCATACTTTGACTGACATGTCCATGTTTTATTTTTGGTTTAGCGTCATGCGTTTCCTCTCTTTTGATCCCGTTTTGAACAGTGTAGAGCCGCCGCCCATCGTGTCGGAGCTGTGTGTTGAGCTGTACAGAGAATTTACACTATTTTATAATAATTAATATTTTTTAATTTTGGGGGAAGGGGCTGCAGGGACAGGACTGCTGGGTGTGAAGATGATGGAACTGCGAGGAATCGTATTGTACAATACTAATTCTGGGGCCAAGACTTGACTATATATACATATCGATATATATATATATGTGTGTATTTGCCCTAGCACAAATTTCTCTCGTCATTTTTGAGCTCCGTGCATCTTGTTCGATCATTATTGTCTGCATTAGGCAGAGCACCGCTACCTCGATGCTGTTAATAGAACCATTACTACCCATCAGTCTTAACAACCACTTTACACATTATATCATTTGTCGTGTTGAGGTAAGCACCAGTTAGTTCTGCAGTAAAGACAAAGCTCTGACATGCGTTTTAATGTTGACTATTTTTTTCTTTTCTCTGTTATTGGAGGGAAGAGCAGATAAACATGTTACCTGTGTGATTCAGAGCATTTTCTTTTTATATATATATATTTACAGCCTGTCGTTAAATTTGTTTACTTGAAGAAAACACATTTGTCTTGATTTTCTTGGTTTAAGTTTCATTTTTGAGATTGTCTTAATTTTTTTTAATCTTAATTACAGTTTATAATGTATGTAAAATGTGCACATACTGTACCTGAATATGTAAAGATGGCACCAAGAAGCTGTTAGTTGTATCAGCTGAGCACAACACGGACACTGAGACCTCTGAAAGGCGGAACTCCTCCATCATTGGAAGAGGCTGTATATGTGTACATATCACACAAAGTAGAATCTCTGTATAGATTTTTGTTTTTGCTGTAAAATGCTCCATACGATCACACTCGTTTACTTAGAGCCTGGTCTCAGCCTCTCTGCATGTCTGCTCCAGTATAACCAGGCCTGTGAGTGTTTTGAGTATTATTGTAACATTTGTTTCTTCCAACGCCTTCCACCTGTTAACCTGCAGAGTGAGTACACTTTCACCTGCATGCCAACTACTACTGCTCACATCTTTTACCGAGTCACGCACACATCTCTGCAGTCAGTCGCTGCTTGTATTAGAACGACAGCAGCGACATCTCGTGTTTTTGATTTTTAGGTAAATGGTAGAGGAGGAGAAGTTTGTGTTGAAATGCCTTCAGTGTCACAAAGTGCCAGCAACATGAGCCTAGCATTCTAAACTGGTGCAGTGTCGCTGGTTATTTTTGATTGTAGACTGGCTGCATGTTTTGGCAACAGACAGAGCGAATGACATTAAAGTGTCCCCACACCATGACAGGACATTGTCCTTTTTTTTAAATTGCATTTGATTTTCGTCCTCATCTCCTGCATGGCCTTTATTGGTCCGTTAAAGAAAAGAAGTGTTATAGAATTCTAATGATTTGCTTCCCCGTTGTTTTGACTGTGGCCTGTGATTCTTGAGTCCATTGATTTGATTCTCTCTTTTTTTTTTTCCTTCTTTCCAGCAAAGGCCAAGTAAGCCCACCTCTACTCCAAATTACTTCCAGAAACTTTGGTTGTGTTTTGTGTTGTGCATGTGTGTTGTGGGCCGCACATCTTACAAGAGCTGCATGTCAGTGACGTCACATGAAGACAGGGGCTCATTAAAAGTTCATACATCTTTTTATAGAGAGGCCATAAATAAATGTCTGATGAAAACTAGCCAATCCCACCTCATGAGTCCTTCCATCCTCGTGCATGAAGAGCCTTAGACTACGATACAGTGCTCATGCCATCTTTTTAGACTAAGATCTTAGTACTGTGTGCAGTAACTTGTACATGATTCCATGGTGCATGTCTGCTTGATCAGCCATCTGTTTTACCAGACTTGTGTAATATTAGACAATGTATAGTATTGGTAAATAGAATAGACATTCGTCAGATAGTACAAATGTTAAATAAGCTCAAAAACACAGTTCATCTTTCCTAAGGAAATACTTTTATGGGACATTCAAAAACCAAACAGACTTTTTTTTTGGCTTTGCACTGACATGTGCAACATGTTCGGAGCAGATTTTATTTTATTTCTTTGCCATATCTGAAGGCAGACATGCAGATGTTTTACTATGAGAACGGCAGGCAGTCCCTCGATGGCGTTTCATGCCAAACTGCTGTACTGTATTTTCAGAGATGATTGTACAATGTATCACATGAACTTTGGTTTCAGGTAAATAAAACTGTTATTGACATTATGAGCTTGTTCTCCTGGTGTCATTTAAACAGTATTAGGTCCAATGTGGAGACAACTGCGTTCATGTCAAGTGAGTTCAATAATTTTATTATACATTTTAAAAATATGTACAAAATACTATAAACATTGAATTGAAATGGTAGAGTTACACTTTGCAACTTAAGAATGAGTCAATCATTGAGTTATTTTGATACAGAAAGGCAGACAAAAAAATAACACAAATAAGAAGTAGACATTACATGACACACAACCTTCAATGTGACAGAATAAACATAATGCAATTTATAAAAGGGCAGCAGGAGAATGGTACATTGTCACTTTATAACAGACATTTTGACGGTTGACAAAGTACCGACACACTCACAACCTTTACTGTGATATTTGATTTTTGATATGTGGCACGTCAGTCTGTAAGGCTCAAGAAACACACAAATTAAAAATCTTGCAAAAGTAACTCCTGTAACACATCATGGAAAACTCCAGCCATTTTTGCCCTAAGCCTAATTTCCTATCACACCACCACCACAATCTTAACTGCTTCATGGTCTGCATTTCCCAGAATCCTCTGCAGATTCCAGACTCAAAGAACCCAAAGCAGGTCTTCACATGTCTTTTTTTTTTTTTTTTTTTAAAGCACTGATTTGAGTTTGTTCAATTTGAAGTTATACTTCAGTTGCATTACCTGGATCAGTGATACATAAGCCAGCAAAGATGAGACAAAAACAAGCTGGAGAAAAGTAGCATTGGTTTTTAAATGACACATTGTTCTATACTGAGACTACATCCATACTATGTTTGTTAGAAAACAGTATTTTCAAACTAGAACTCAGTCCACACAAGCGTTTTGGCTCCATACCAGTTTTAATCCCTGTCTATGCTCACATGACCACTTGTGTACACTGGGCATGCGCATGCCAGTGTACACAGGAAGCATTTGGATGTTATTTGCAGATGGTGGAATAACAGCTTGTCTCCTACACATGGAAATAGTTGTATCACTGTAAAATGCAGAATTTAACTGCACAACAGAGACAACAGGGTCAGCAACACTTGTAATTGATGATCCACGTTGCGTTCTACACTGTTAGCTGAGGCTAATGCAAGTTGTTTTCTCGCAGAAGGGGGTCATGTGATAGGAGCCTGATGAATCGTCGAAGGCTACGTCGTGACGGAAAAGAGCCAATCAGCAAGTGGTTGTGTCGATGTAATCAACTCCAAACATCTCAGTTTCTGTAATGTATTTTCAGCTGTGTGGATGTACCCCGTGTCTGCTGGTGCTGTGGGACTGTCCTTCACTGCTGTAAACAAGCCTCGATCAACTCCACTAGTAAAACTGTTGTTTGGTGGAAAAACAGCATCAGGTTCAAAAATGGCTGGAGTTCTGCATTAAGGTACATTTCCATAAAAGCACTGAAGTGCTTCCTGTAGCTGTACTGCAAACATGGACATCAGACAAATTTGCAAATTCGTCTATAAAGTTGGCAACGTCAGTCACTCGGTGTAAACCTCTGTGGTCATGTGAGGTGTGCGGAGCAGTACGACCCCCCCCCCCCCTCTGTTCTGTTTGACGCCCCTGATGGCTAAGGGCTCTCCACAGGCTGCAGCGTGTTAGAAGGTGGTACTGACCCAGCATGCCTCAGTGGCCCGGGGTCACTGCATTCCAAACCACTGTTCCTGATCAGCCCACTGGGCTGCTTCACTGTCACTGCCCTCCAAGTCTCCGTCCTCTCCGCTGCCCTCCATGTCGTCACCGTCCAGCTCCACCGTGGCGTCTGTTGGGCTCTCCTCTTTCTCCATCTTCTGCATGCCTTCCAAAGATTTCTGGTCATTGGGATCCAGGCTTAGGAAGAAAAAATAAAAACGTAAAAATATGTAACTTCGGCCGGTGGGGGTCTCTCAATCAGAACAATAACAATGACCTAGTTTAATAAAGTTTTATTCACATCACACTGCAAACAATAATGAATAATCATGAGTTTTTTCTTCATTGTTTGCCCCAGAAGTTAGAGCAGAGATGAGCAAAGCCACATGTAAAGCAGATTAAAAGGCGAGCAAAAATAAATGTCCTGTTACTTTGAATAACGCATGTGAACATTATAGCAAACATTTTGCATAATGTAACTACACACAATATGTAACAGAGGTCTAATTGTTTTTAGGCATTTTAATAACATTGTTGCAAACTATGCCCTTAAAAATTCCTGATCTTGTACCCATTGTGCTTTTAGAGCAATATTTACTCCTGGGGAAAATTTGGTGTGATTGGAAGTAAAAAGATAGAAAAGTCAATCAATCATTACCTTAGTGCTATGCTGTACTGATCCATGGCTTCTTGGTAATCATTGACGGCTAAAAGAAAATCTCCCAGCATTCTGTGCAGGACACAATCACTCTGATTGGCCAGGGCATTCCGGAGGAGAGCGATCCCTTCTTCGTATTTCTGTTCCCGACCTTCACAATAATAGAAAAGTCTTAGAGGTCTCATAATAATAATAACAACAATAATAATGAATGGAGCAGGCAGATAGTTGTACGTACTCAGCAGTTCCGCCTTTTTGACCACAGCCTTGGTGTAGTCGGGCCTCTGGGCCAGGGCTTTGTCGAGCAGGGTTTTGGCTTTCTCCTGAGTCACAGGGTCTTCCAGGCACACTGTGGCGAGGATGGTCAGAGTCTGTGCATTGGCACCAAGAGTCTTATAGATGTTATTAGCCATTCCCATCGCCTCTCGAATCCCATTGGATGCCAGGTAACAGTCAATCAAGCCTTGCAATGGGACAGTTAAGTCAATACAAGTGGATTTAAAAAGTGAGACACCACATTGGGATTGTAAAAGAAGGAAAAAAATCACATATACCTTCATAGCAGTCGAGTCGGCATGGTGCCAAACGCATGGCCTCTCTAAAATGGATGATGGCTTCTTGAACACGGCCCATGTTTCTCAGTGCTGCCCCCTTCAGGAGGAGAGCCTGGACACTGTTGCTGTTCAGCTGAATGGCCTTGGCTCCCAGGTAAAGGGCTCTGGAGTAACGCTTGCTGTAAAAGCTGTGACAACTGAACAAACAAGATACAAATTCACATTGTTAGAAAAACTTGGAATGAAAATAATATTTCATGTGTCAGAGTTTGACTATTAAAGCTGACTCACCCAGAGATCACCCACGGTTCAGCATGCTGGTCTGAAATATTAAATAGTCGTCCTCCCAACACCTCGACATCCTCCAGGTGTCCCTCACGTGCCATCAGGTAGCCATAAACATCCATTCCTGCAAGTGCACACAGCAGTTTATATACGTAACCTGGACAACACAAGTCCCATTTTCCCAGGCATCACTCCGGGACAATTGTATACTTAAGCCCACAGTCCGGATATTGACTATCAATCAAAACATAAAGATAACATAAGAATTTAACAATGTTAACACACTTCTACAGTTTGTGATATAGACTATGTCCATTAACCAATCAATAAAATCCTTCTCGTCCTGCACCTTTGATGAGGTACGGGTCCAGCATCTGAGCTTGTTCAAATTTGAGGATGGCATTTTTGGTGTCCCCTGCCCTAAAGTAGACATCTGCCAGGCTCACCAGGAGGTCCACGTTGTCCCGCAGGAGAGACTTCTTCTCCAGAGAGCTGAGACAGGATGGGGGAGAGATACATCAAATCAAGACTGTTGCATTAATAGACACATTCAGTCACTTGGTATGTGAAATAACCCTCTGCTCACCAAATGGTGTTGATGGCTCTTTGATTGTCCCCTGCATGTATAAAGGCATAAGCTTTGATCCAAACAGAGAGCCAGTCCAGGTTGGGGATACTCTGGATCACATCCATAGTCATGGACGCAACTTCGGCGCCTTTGACCGACAGAGAGAGAAGACCTAACAGAGAAACGCTGAATTTAATTTTGAGCTCTTTAAATCAACAGTGATGTGTAAAGACAACAAACAGACTTGTGTCTCAGCAGGTTCAATGTTGTTTGTGAGATGTCTGTGCGAGTATGTGAACATGCGTACCTATGATTCCATCCAGGGCGAGTGGACATTGTCTCAGAACCTCTTTGTAGCTTGTCACAGCAGAACGCTCCTGACCAGCTTTCCTGTACAGGTTAGCTAACATCATGTTGATCTAAGATGAGAAAGAGTTGTGACATTTAAAGAGTCATTTAAAGAGTCATTTAACCCTAGACAATAAAAAACTACAACTACTTCAGTGTTTTGTCTTTATTTTCAAAAACTAAATTAAGTTAGTTATTAAGCAAGTTATTTTACAGCCTTAGAATAATAACTTCATTAATTTAACCTCAAAGTTTGTAGGTTCCCCCATTCTTCATTACATTTATTACATTATAAATGTACATAATTCCGATACAGTACTTGCTTTGTATACATCGTTGCATGAAGAGGTTTCACATGAGACTAAACGTGTCCACATAATTTCTCTGAGTGGTCTACTTAAAAAAAAAAAAAGGTGAATAAGGCATGAAAAAGAAGTTGATTACAATAACGATAGGAGTAGCAGTCTACCTTTGGAGTCCTCTGTCTGGATGGAATTCCATCAAGCACTGCAATAGCATCTTTGTCCAGTTTCAAGATGGTGTAACATTCAGCTATCTTGTACTTCACCTCAATTTCAGATGGCAAACTCTGAAAGACAACATTCAGTGGAATTGTACATCTGTTTTCATTCATGCCAGGTGACCGAGTGGATTTTTGTCCAAAGAAGAATAACAAGATGTCTGGGAGTTAACAAACACTTGCAGAAGAAAAGAAAGTTAACAAAATTGAGAAGTAAAATTTATTTTTCTTTAAACCGCAATCATGGGCAGAGCAAATGCATTAGGGTTAGGGTTAAAATTTTTAAATCTCAATTTTCTTGAGTATATATTAACACTGTACTACAAGTAAAAATGTTTCACATCCAGGATATTACAGAGTCTTACAATGGACGAAATATTGAGTGATCATCAAAACAATCACTCGATAATATACATTTAAAAAACACGTAACCTCAGCGAGAATTGCAAGTGAGGAATCCCTCTCCGAGGATGGACAGAAGTGCAATAGATGTGTGTAACAGAGCAATTTATATAAATGGAGAGGTGTATTAATGTTTAAAGTCTTTATACAGACTGACAGATGGAAAATGTCTGACAGAGACGAAAGCAATGTATAATCTGCAAGGACACACACTGATGCACAGTGAGGAAAAACACACCTGTGCCTGTAGGTTAGCTGCCGCTCCACCGGTAGAAGTGCGAACTTTGGAAGTTTTGCTGAGCACCTTCTTCTGCTGCAGGGCCATACTGTATTTGCAGGCAGCGTTACGATATTCCTTATCATGGAAGATGGCATCAGCGTGGTAAACCAACAGCTGATACTTCTGGGCCGGCGAGAACAGCTCCCTTAAATCAGAAAGATACAAAATAACAAAGTTAGCAAACTCAGAAAAGATGCAGCACGATAAATGATCTCTCAGTTGCACAATCGATAACACAAAGTGTCAGAAATCCTAGAATATAGAAGAAAACTACAGTCAATGAACTGTAGAGAATAAACATCCTATTACACAAATACCAATTAATAAACTTTGTCAATAAGAAAAGCAAACAAAGTGTGAACAGATTGATCCTAAACACAGAGATGGACAAGGGGCATGTTGAGCATCATCACCACAACATTAACACTGAACTGTAGCTCAGACAGTGTATCTGCTGCAGAGCCATTGATTTTAAATCACCACACCGTCAGGTTTATCATCACAGCAGACTGTCACTACAATATGTCTTTTCCCTTAATGAGATACTCGGTGTCAAATAAGACGATCGGTTCAAATCAGTAATGTCAAGCTAGCTGCAAAATAGCAACGGTGGGGGGATTGACATATGACTACATCCTGGACAAGAACGTACACTGTGTACGCCCAAACAATAACAAACATTCCTTATAAACGAAATACCAGGACTAGCATCTCGCTACCGTGAGTTGTTGCTTTACAGAAACAGATAGTACAGTTTACTGTAACTGACTGGTTAGCTTAAGGGCTATCACGGGCTAACATAACATGTTGGTGAAAGACAGCCCTCTTCGGGAAATAGCCAGAGCCCGCTCTGACATGACTTACGGATTGTTATTACTCATCGTCAGCAACAAACTGCTCAGGATCCGGACGTTAGAGTGGAGGCCGGCGGCAGCCATGTCCCGCACATGATCTATTACATTCATCTTCGGGTAAACTCAAGCCTTGCTTTAGATTTCCGTGTCAGGGTAAAAGTTTGGGCTTGTAAACAGCTAACGCTAACTAGCTCCTGTTGTATTAAATATGGCGCCCAACGAGCTTCCTTCCGCATACTGCTGCCTTCAGGAGCACCTTACAAGCTCGTACTTTCGTCACGGCGCTCGTAAATGCGATGTATTTGAAGTTTTTGCTAAAGATAGTATTTAACTGGCTGCATTTATATTTTATAAAACTGTACGATCATTTATATTTGATATATGAATGTAAAACGTTCTTATCTGTGTCATGATTGATAGGCCGCTGATGGCGAAATATCCCGATAGCTGTGAACGCATCTTTTTTTGCTGCAGCAATATTTTATTTTATAAATTTTAATTATAAAATAAATATGAAACATTACAATACTAGATACAAACATGACATAAATACAATGATTAAAACATTAGAATTGTATTCTAATGTTTTCACGATGTATACACTGACATATGGATATATGGTTATTTATACATGTATGCATTAGTACTAATGCAATAACAGACATACAAGTGAAAAACAACGGTACCTTTTTTAATTAATGCCTGTTTTAACAGTTTAACACATTTATTTATTATTATACGTATTTTAATCTGCAAAAATAATATTATAAAATAATTAATAATGTGCTTAGCTATAAATGATACGTGGGGCTTAACAATGGTAACATTATTATTGTAGTAATATTTAGTTGTGCTACTTAAAGATCCTGTTTCTCTTTTTTATTCCATAAATTCATCAATTCCTCTGTCGACAAGCTACCTCAGTATACTTATTAAAAACTCTTTTAAAAGGGCATTTTAATAAAGTGGCCTTTAACTTTTGTTTGTGTGATTGCTTTATTTGTTTGTATTATTATAATGCTGTTCAACCAGCCCTTTGTTTGTTGTATTGCTTTATTGTATCCATTGTCTTACATTAACTTCGCAATGCACACGTTTTCTGCTTTTACGTCTGTGAAGCATTTTGTTATCGTGTGTTTTGAATTCAAGTTCATTATTATTAACATTATTATTCATATACAATTAAATATTATAAGTTAATTAAAACAGGTGCCAGCAGAAATATATTACCCTATAAAGGCATCAATAAACGTGTTAAAAAAATTATTGATGAGATAACAACAATCGATTACTAAAAGAAAACTTTTTGACCCTTTGAAAAACTCAGACGTGTGTTGGCACATCTGCCAGCATGCGATGATGAAGCAGGTCAGAATGTAAGACGTGAAATGAAGTCAGACATCTGGACAAAGCAAATCGCAATAAGCTACAATATGACAACAAAGCCCTGCTGTCAAGTGATACCTCTCCTGAGACATTGAGACATACAGTACAGTACTGCATGTCCCCGATGACACAACACACACTCACACACACACAGACACACACAGACAGACACACACACGCACTGCAGACGCACATGCGCACAGCTAAAGGCAGCAGCTGAACGTGGTGTCAAAACACAGGGAAATCAGCAGCCGCGGCAACATCTCTGTCGGACTCAGCTTCACCTCTGGGTTCTCCTCGGAAAAGTCTTCGTCCCAAAGTGTTTTCCATCCACGTCCTCGTACCATGACCGAACAATCAGCACTACTTCTTCGAAAACAACTGGCAGGTAACACCGACACGCGAGAGCCAAGCAACATTGTCCACAGAGCGGCTGTCTGCCCTAGCTGCTAGCGTTAGCTTGTTTCATTAGCTACGCAAAGCTATGTTTACGCCATAGGAGTGAGCCCAGGAAGCTAACCAAGCAACACAATGGGCTCCTTCATCCCCGCAGCACAGTGTGGGCTTCGGCTGCGGTGGGTAGCTCACCCACCGTGGACATAAACACATCTTGAACTCTAACGTGTCCTCGACAACATTATATTGGACAACCTCGCGAATCGCATCGCCAGCCTTGCTAACAGGCTAGCAAGTTCGACATTAGTTAGCGGACGGAACAAAGGAATAATCAGTCCAGGGACTCATCTGCTCGGATCACTTTAGCTTTGCTAATGGAAGCGATTTGTTCAACCTCTCGTGCACAGATTCAGACACTATATGTGCAGCAACTCATTCAAATTACAAAGTTAATAAAGACGATGATGAGCAACACTGGTTAGTTTAATGTCCTTTAGTATGGATGCGCATCTGTGAGTGTGTTAAAGCCTTCGATCATCAAAGTCCTGTGTGAGCTCATTTAGAGAAATATCAGCAGTATTATAATAGTGTTAGTGACAGTGGTGTGTTTTCTTATTAATGACTGAGGCACCAACACCTCTGATGGTTGGTCTGTGTCAGAATGACTGTACAGATCAGTGTCTGGATCACTGCCCCCTCTTATACATTGTGGTTTTTCTATTAATATGATGAGAGTTGCTGACAGATATTGTCCAATTCTCAAATAAATACGTTTTTGACACAACATACTCAAATCGTCTGTTTATAGCTCTTGTTAAGTTTTAACAAATAGAAAAAAATATCTGACATATACCAATAACATGACGATCAGCAGTTCAGATGAATAGTCTTATCACAATATTGATGTTATGTCATTTTTATTTTCCATCTGAACACTGTTGCCAGATGGGCCTCTATTGATAAAGTTGACCTTCTGTTATAATTTACTTTTAAAGGTTTTGCTGTGGAGCTCAAATGACAGAAACTCTCCACTCCTGCCGTCCTCAGGCCGATACCCTGCTGTTCTGTCACAGATTGAACATGTTGCACTGATTGTACAATATGTAAATTCTGGTTTCTCTGTGTGTGGAGAAAATGAATCACTGGTTTTGCATTGGTTGAATTGATTATGTTCTTCAAGGGGGTGATTCACTCCAACAGCAATTATTATTTTTGGAAACCTCGATTTGATTCCGTGAACATTTGCCAAACTTTATACTCACTGAATAAACTTGGAATATTGTGGCACTATAACCTAATCTCCTTTTAATAGTTATTTTTTCTAAGCATTCATTAATGCCGGGACATGAAATGTAATGTTTCTGTCACTTAACCAAATATAATGAAATGGTATCAAACACTGAAACTGAATATTTTCATTTAAAGGGGTGATTAAACTCTTCTTTTATATGGATCAATTTTATGTCTGGTATATACTGGTTAAAGAAAAGATAAATTAGAGGATCACTTTAAGCACATTAGTCAACGCAGCAAATTGTTTTGTGGCACCCATTCTACATACATGAATGAATGTAACCAGTCCAATCCCATATCAGGGATGGCAATACAGCCCTTACCACTGATGAAGTTTTCTATCACTTATTTTTAAATGCTAACTCAACATGTCATGCAGCAGCAGCAAGAAAACAAACCTTCCACTCTGTATTCACATAGACCTCCCGTTGTACACGGTTCATTACTGTTAGAAACTTCAGTGTAGATTTATTATCTGTGCTGTGTTTTCATGACCCTCAAGTGTTTACTGTGCAGCAGCTGCTGCAGCCAAATCAGATCAAATCCCACTTCTGTTTGTTTCTCTTTGGTTCTCGTATTGCTATATGAATAATAACTTGTCTTGCACATTGTCAAGTAAAGATTTTCCATTGAGTTGAGGTCAAGGTCTGATAGATGATCATAACAGTTTTGTTTCCAATGGACTTTTCTTTGTATCCCCTAAATGACAACATGCATTGTCAGAAGACTGATATAAAAGGTGTAGCCCTTACAATATCATTGAGAAACCCAACAGTTCCCATGACGAGCAAACAGTTAGCAACAGTGGAGAGGATAAAATAACTTTTAATAGGAATGAACCAACAAGAAAACCAGACTACTTGTGGGGGGCAACTCTGTGAACTGGTTGGAATTAGAGGAGAAAAAGGGGGGAGAGAGAGGTGAGGTGGGGAGGGACAAGAAAGAGATAGAGCCCAGCAACGGTTGTGTAACTGTTGTATTGTACTGTCAGACTGACTGCTGTTATGATAATAGTGATACTGTATGCAATAATGTTACTGATAATGAATAATAACAGCAATGACAGCCACACCTATTAACAACTATACTAGCAGAGGATAAGGGCAGATGTGGTGGGTGCATCTCTGGAGGCAGAGATACCTGCAGAATGAGGCCAGTAGGAAAAAGCTACATGGGAGAGAAAACACCACGTTAATGACGAGCAGTAGTGTGATTTTAAATACATTTGGGAGAGAGAGATGTGCCCAGTGCATCATGGGAGTTCCCCCATTATAGCAGCTTAACTAAGGGATGACTCAGTGCTCCCCCGAGCTTTAGGATTTTCAACCTAACGAGAAGCAACAGTGGATGTAATATACCCTGTCAACTCTACGTAACTGTTTACTCAGTCACACATGTAAACAGGTATAGCGAATGGATGACTGGATGTAAAATACTGTATTCCTCTTCTCCTAGAGCTCAACAAGAACCCCGTGGAGGGCTTTTCAGCTGGTCTGATAGATGATGATGACATATACAAATGGGAGGTTGTGATCATTGGTCCACAAGATACCCTTTTGTAAGTGCAAACATATTTTGGATAATAACATCTTAGGTTTGAGACAAAATAGATAAATACATGTTATATAACTTCATCATCTCTCATTTGTCTTTACTCTGTTCTTTGTCTGTACTGCAGTGAAGGAGGGTTTTTCAAAGCATACCTAACCTTCCCTTATGATTATCCACTACGGCCTCCAAAGATGAAGTTCATCACCGAAATCTGGCACCCAAATGGTAAACACCCTCAGCCTGCTCTGTCTGAACACGTCAATAGACTGTGAAGGCTCCTTTTTTTTATGCTGCAGATCTTTTTTTGATGGTACAGGGATGTAATCCGGATTTTTGTATTGAATTCTAATGAGGCTCATCTTAATGTCACAGCAGGTGTTAAAGTTATCTTCCATTTCTTCACAGTTGCAAAGAATGGGGATGTTTGCATCTCAATCCTGCACGAGCCAGGGGAAGATAAGTTTGGTTATGAAAAGCCTGAGGAGCGTTGGCTTCCCATCCACACAGTAGAGACAATCATGATTAGTGTTATCTCCATGCTGGCAGACCCCAACAGTGATTCACCAGCTAATGTGGATGCGGCGGTGAGTTGCATTACTAATTCCATTTCCCCGACAACTGAAATCTCAATCATTCTTGTAATAAGTTGATGATGTTTTGGTAAAAGGAGTCTGATGTCGCTCCCACAGAAAGAGTGGAGGGAGGACCCTAACGGTGAATTTAAGAGGAAGGTGGCTCGCTGTGTAAGAAAAAGTCAAGAGATGGCGTTTGATTAGGAGTCAATTGTAAATTCCAGGGTAAGTAAATCAACTTTCAGCTAAGGCGACATCTGTACTACTACGTTATCATTTGAAAACTCCTCAACTCTGCTGCAGATACGCCGTCGTCCAAACTGCTCTAGAGTTCTATAGATGCTGAAACTGAGAAGTTTGGAATTGCTGCTGGCCCAGTTTTAGTTTGAAAACTCGACTGCAGCGTTTAAGTCTGGAGGGGCAGAAACAGATATTTTGAAACTATGATGTAGGTGAACCACTTGTTGGTTTGATGATTCATCACGCTCCTATCACATGACCCCCTTCTGGAAGAAATCAATCAGCATTCACCTCGGCTACCGCTGTAGAACAGAGACCCTATTTTCTTTGCTAACAGCTGTTAAATTCTGCATTTTACAACTGTTAACATGTAGCTTTTATTTGAACAGTCTGCTGATTGTATGTTCTCAGGTGTGTTCGTATGAAGGGGGATAAATGCTCATCATTCATTTTAGTTTGTAAACGCCATTTTCAATAGAGAACGTAGTAGTATGGATGTATGGCCTATGACTCATGTGCAACCTTTCTTATGGAAGTAATAATAATACTTGTTTGTTTTTTTTCAGTTAAAGGATGCCTTCAGAGGGAAAATTTCAGCAAAAGGCTTTTGCACCCCTTGTTTTGCCAGTCGAAGGAATTGGTTGACCCCAACCACGTTTCTTTGAGCGGTTGTCATTTTCCGCAATATGAGCCAATTTGAGAACCTTACCAGCAAAATTAACCTGTTTCCTACCTGGAATTGTATATTTAATTTT